AAATTAAACAAGGTGTACAGCAGGCCTGCCACCACGTCCTCTCCAGCCCTTAGCCCTTAGGATATGATAGTTGAATAGTAAATGAGTACTATATATATGAGGTCAAAATGAGTACTATTCAACTATCTATAACATATCTGGCTGCCTTACATGCCTTGCAATTTGAGTTTCATGCTTTTCATTGCTTTCACTATTTCATCTATACTTATCTCCCTATCTCTTTCTTCATCTTTCGGAATTTCTATTTCATTTAGTTCATACGTCTTCTCACTCATAAATATGCTTTCAAAATATTCCTTTCATCTCTTTAGACTTAAATCTTCATCATTCCGAATACAGAAATTCTGGTCTCAAGTATAATTTTACTTCCAGGTCATACAAAAGAGTAATTGCAAAGTTTGCAGGAAACTAGTTCGCCTTCCTCCGGGAATCCATGCATTCTGGTCTCTAGCCAAGGCTGTGCAAGGGATCTTTGGTCAGCTTCACTGTGTGACCATGCCCCAAGAAGAAAGCCGATCTACTTAGGTCTCTTTTTGGGTCCAGCTTGACTCTTGATCATGGGGAAATATCGCCGACCATCCTTCGCAGTGCGGCTTACGCAAAGCTCAGTGTGTTTATCTCTCCCAGGACGTCATAAAGTCGAGTGTGCCTAATGGGGTCCGTCCGATTGTGATGAACATGTATGCTCCAGAATTAACAACGGTTATAACGTGTATTTTTCGGTATATCTATTACCCTGGCGCAGTCTCAAATCCATGGAAAATAGCATTAATGCACCCGATTGCTACAACCGCTCAGAAACATCCAAATACAGGCCTATCTCTATCACCTCCTTGCTTTCCAAAAGAATGGAATCCGTTGCTCATGAGGTGCCTTAATGATCACCAGCTAATTATTGATCGCCAATACAGTTTTCAGTCGAGGTTACTCAGATAGTGATCATCTAGTTTACCTGACTTATAGATGGGCGGCAGTAGAATAAAAAGTAAAAAAGAAAGAAAATGGGCCTTGATCGTTAGTTTGGAAATAGCAAAGGCCTTCGATCGGATTTGGCACAAACCGGTTCTTTCGAAGCTTCCTTCTTATTGACTTCCCGAGAATTTGCGTAATTGAATCACCAGTTTTCTTACCGATTGTAGCATCAAGGTCATAGAAGTTCCATCACCAACCTATAAGACTACATGCCTTTTAAAGCTCGTGTTCCACAAGGCTGCGTCCACCTACGTTCTTTCTTCTGCACATCAATTATATTCGTATGTTGCGAACCAGTAAGATTTATTGCTATGCGGATGATATCACTGGTGATGCATTTTACATCAGCCGAGCCATTTTTTTTTCGGGAACAAGGCGTCGAGTACCGGAACAAACTTGTATCTGAAGTCGACTCTTTGCTAAACAAAGTTATCGAATTTGGGACGACTAAATCTAGTACAGTTTAACCCTCAGAAGACGATGGTTTGCGCGTGTATTATTTCAGGCAAACAATGGATCGTATATTATTATTAAGTAACCCGCTAAGGTAACTTAATAAGCTGTTTCTAAGAAATATCAATAAGAAATGCATCAGCATAGTTGAATAATCGTAAAAGGAATGATGACGAACTAGAAGTTCAGTGAAAGGGATATTTCATACAGATATAACGTATTCTTCATTTGTACTGAACAGATGGTAGCTCGAAGGTGGGTAGAAGTTAAAGGTGGCAATAACCTCGACGGGCACTACTAAAAATGTTCTAGCATTTATTAAGATTTATTTACCATAATGACTCTCCTTGCTGCCTCAGCCAGCATCGAAATCCTCCGCGTCGACATATCAACTGTTTACACACTTATTACACTTGGAAACGAAGACTAAAATTGGCCCTTAAAAGGCTGTGCATGCTCAGCAGAGCGTGACAGTATTTCACGTCAGCACTCCGCTTGCAACTTTACAAGGCGCAGGTTCGGCCTTACGTCGAATACTGTTCTTATCTCTGGGCTAAGGTACTTCAGTCACAGCACCTTCCTCGTGACCACAGAGATGTTGCATCCCTTTTCATTTTCTATTGAATGTACTAGGGAGTGTGGTCAGAGGTATTTTCAGGATTAATTCCAGCCGCCAAGTTCCACTGGTACACACACTTGTTCACATGGTAGGAATTTTTTGTTTTTTTTTTGTCTTGCTTTTTTCTTTTCTCGGAATAGTGTTCTTCACTCCCCTTGTTTCCTCAGCCAGTATCGGAATCCTCGGCGTCGACATATCGAGTAACGTGCAGTTTCGTGGTCACTTGGAAGAGAAGGCCAAATTGGCCTCTAAACAGATTGGCGTGCTCAGCAGAGTGGGACAGTATTTCATGCCGGCACACCGCCTGCAACTTTACAAGACACAGGTTCGGCCACACATGGAATACTGTTCCAATCTCTAGGCTGGGGATCCCCGGTACCAGCTCCTTCCACGTGACCGCATCCAGCGCAGAGCGGCTCGAATCATCGACGACCGAGTGCTTTCCGATCGGCCCGATTCACTGAAGCTGCGAAGAGATGTTGCATCTCTTTGCGTATTTTATTGCATCTATCACGGGGAGTACTCTGAGGAATTGTTCGGATTACTCCCAGCCGCCAAATTTCATCAACGCACTACGCGGCAAACCTCCCGATACCATCCACACCATCTGAATGCTTCGCGGTCCACCACTGTACGTTTCACTAGGAGTTTTGAGAGGAGTTTTGGAGTCTGTGGAATAATTTACCACCGGCGATTTTTCCGGACCGATATGACCTGAGGACCTTCAAGAAGAGAGCTTACTCTTTTCTAAAGGGCCGACAACGCACCTGCAATTCACCTGGTGTGACCGGTCAAGAGCTGCGGTAGTCACTTAACAACAGGTGAACCGTATGCTCGTATACCCCTTTTGCCCCCTCTTCTATAAAAAAAAGTTAGCTGCATGTTGCATGACTGCAGTCCATGGACTGCAGTAGGCACTTACCATCAGGTGAACAGTTCATTTGTCACTTCAGTTTTGGAAAAAGGAATAACGTTGAGAAAGTGCAAAGTATATTAATAAAATTTTACAGGTCAACACAGAGGTGTTGCAGCACGATGCTCTCTATGGTTTTGGAGCATTTGCGGTAATACTGTTGTTTAACTCTGGTGGGAATCGTGGCAAGCTTTGTGTTAATATTTACGTTTGTTTCGTTATACTGTGTAAATGTATCACTATCTGTTATAAGCCAATGTCTTCTTTTAAATTAATATCTTATTATAGTTTACGATGTTAAATTACTCGATCTCCCAAAAAAACTACGTTTAAAGTAATGATGGGTCCTTGTCTCCGCCCCGGACTTTCAAGACTAATTGTGCTTCCATCGGAAAACTATTTTGTGTAATAATTTTTATTACAGAAAATAGTTTTAATATAATAATAATACTAAATAAAATACTGTGTAATAAAAACTATTACACAAAATAGTTTTAATATAATATTAATACTAGTAATAATAAAAATATAATAATATGTTGTATACATCAAATATGTTTTCATACATTTTGTAATATTATTAGCAGGTACCTAAAGTTTCTATGGTTTTCTGCAGACTCCCACAGTTAGTCACCAGCACTACACATGCGCTGGGAACCGCAAAATAGTATCTTACGATAATTATAGTTTTAACAAAAAGTAAAAACCGGCTTTAAATTGCTAAAAAAGAAACTTATTGATTTGCAACCCTTATGTGTGAATTTTTTTTCCAAATTTATATGGGACTACTCTAAATTATAACCTATTTAAGAAAAAAGAATCATTTAAATCGTTTGTTTATCTGCGTAGATATCATACGAAATTCCTTATGCAATAGTCCTATATGAACCTTTTTCCCCTATTTTACAGACTTCTGGGCGGAAGTTTTTCTTCAAAATTGAAAAAGACCACCCTTGAGGTAAAGCCTATTTAATAAAAAAATTGTTAAAATCGATTCACAATCTGCGAAGATATCGCGCAATATACATACAAAAAAAATACTCGAATTGAGGACATCCTCCTTTTTGAAATCAGTTAAAAGATTAGTTTGAGTCCTTATTACTATTTTGTATACTAATTAATATAATAATCTCATTGTACTCCTGAAATACTGTTGACCCTATTTTGATTGGCATTAACGTGGTAGAGCCATTCTGCAGTTATAATATGGTTGTAGCACGAATAGGTCGACTCGACCGGGTAAGGGTCACGTTCTTACACAATACGTAATCCGTACATTCGGACAGTTATGACTTATGACTGTGGATCTTATAAACGGAGAGAGAATTACTAGCAGTTATTTTAATTCTTGTCATCACTGCAAGGGCCGAAACGTGTTAGTAAAAATATTATGATACGGGTATCAAATTATCTTGATGAATATCATTGTATCAAACGGCGCATAATCTACATTCATTGAAGTAAAAAGTTATAATAATTACTGTAAACTTTCACTAATATTTTTTTACTTCAAACGACATCTTACGTCAACATTTTACAAAAAATTTAATTACACACTCCAGCATACAACAGTTGACTTAAAAAGCCATGTTCAGAAAAATTACAGTCGAACGCTTCCTGTATAGAATAAACATTTTAAAAGTTTTCTCTCGAACTTCTTCACAAGAATGCACTTACCGCGTTTAAAAATGATAGTGATATTGTGATGTTTAGAACTCTCGCCTTGAAGGTACATAATGTAAGACGCCCTCCATCCCGTTACTTGTACATAAATTACTGACAATATTATTTTACTACTTTTGCCTTGGTATTTTTAATAGCATCGATTTTTCTCTGTAGTGCCGACCATCCCAACCACCAACACGTAGTACAGTGCTATTTATTTTCCGGCAAATTAATCTGATGATACAATATAAAAATTGGATTATGGATTTAATACCAGTTCATCACGGCATTCAATACTGGCAAGAACTAATCTATTTTTGAATCGAACCTGACATTGATTATTTTACCCCATATGCCCAAGAATCAGCTAAACGGCTATTACTTACCCATGTCATCTATGAGAGGCGCCATTCTCAGTGTAACACCAACCAGCAACAGGCAGAGAAAGAGCAATAAGCAAGCCGTCACCATTATTGTGTAGCGCGCTCTTCGCGGTAGTTCATCCGGATCCAAAACCTAGTGGAAGAATATACCTCTTATTATAGGTGATACCTCGAACTATTACTATAAGGTGATACCTCGAAAATTTGGTGATTTTTCTATTTAACATATTGTTTTTAGATTTATAGATTACAAACCAAAATTTTGGTATATGATTTTTAACTATATAACCTTGGATTGCATAAAAGGAAAATATGATATGTAATTTTCTTGATAGAAAAAATTTGCAAAGTAGGCTCTAATTATTTACGTTTCTCCATGACACCACAATATTCTTAGGAATAAGTTCATGGAATTATTTTTAAGGCATAGTAAATAATCATATCTAAGTTTTCATAAACCAGTTTTTTAATCCATAACGAAGTTTTGTTAAAATAAATAAAAATGTTGTTTGGCGCTTACGTAGTTTTTTTCCGAGCGCTTGCTCGGTATGACTATCTCATAATTTGCGTACTATGAAGTCATTGCATCACTTTCATTTTGACACTCCCTCCGTCGTCCGTTAGCTTCACCGACAAAGGAATAAGTCACGCCCCCAAAATTTCGATTCATTTTCAAGGTATCACTTAAAAGGTTTCTGACTATCGGTTCCGTGTATATTTTTCTTTAAAGCGATCCCTAGACACGACATGCCTAACGTGCTGTCATGCATAATCGTTAATTTTTTACCCACGACGGAACGGAGAAGGTATATGCGTTTGGGTAAGAGGTTGATGTTATGTTTGTTTGTTTGTGTGTAAAAAACGGTTTGACTGATTTATATACGGGGTTTTATAATGTGTTTTTGATTCAAATGGCGATGGTTTTAGATAGGTATAATGAGGTTAACTTGCCAGGGGGCGCTGCAAAAAACATTTTGTGTGCAAAGAAATTTTCCCATTTATCTCCAACACGGTTTGACTGATTTAGGTACAGGGTTCCATAAAAGATTTGTGATTCATCAGCGATGGTTCTTAGATAGTTGTTATATTCTTAGCTCACCAGGAACCGCTGCAAGAAACATTTTGGCTCGTTAAAATGAGTAGTAGCGAATGCTTCCCCTAGACGGCTTGACTGCGATTTAGATGCGGCTATCGATATCACATAGCAGAGTAACACAAATATTTGAAATGAAAATAAATTTACGTATTTTATTGCGTTTAATTTCAACTTTTTAATTCCTGACGTTTCAGGTGCTTTACAGTACCCAGGGTCAAGGGGGGGGACTGAGGTATTTGACGTCTCGATGTCATAGTTAGCCTGCAGAACGGACCAAAAATGTAAATGAACTCGTAGTATTCACGTAAATATAAGACATCATTATCCCAAATATTTATAAATATTCATATAATTCTTAGAGTAATAACCCTATGCCCTGATTACAAATCTAGATCGAACACAGCTTTATTGCTTTTCTTCGGTTGGGGCTGCCAACCCCTGTCCCGAAATGAACTAAAATTTTCATGTTCATTGTTCGTTCTCATGTTTCAATTAAAATTACATAGTGTACATGAATAAATGTAGTCTTTAATTGCTATAAATTGCTGTATATCTTAACTTTCTATATTGAAACTGGGAACTAAGATGGAAATGGCAGGAGGTTTGTAAATTTAATAGGTTGGTGAATATCTGCTGTTCCTATATTTCATATTATTGCTGAATCTATCGCTACGAGAAACAAATAGGTATACAAAGGTAGGAAGGACTAGTAGATCAAAAATAGTTGTTTGTATGACAGACCTCGCGACAAGCCAACCCTTTTTAAAACGCTTTTAGTTTTATATTTCGTGACCTACTTCCTTTTAGTCGGAGGCTTTTTACAAATTTTTATAAACGTGTTCTTGATCATAGCATTATATTTTATGATATTACGGTCAATAAATCTCTATAAATTTCTGGTCGTCGGTTACTGCCACAAGTTACCTTTAATTATATCTACCTCCGAACTATCATCTGTTCAGTATGAATGAATATTGCGTTGTACCTGTATCATAATTCGACTTTATAGATTTTTTTCTCTGCTTTTACTAAACTCGTTCGATATTCCCTTTTTTTTTAATTCAACTATGCTGACGAATTTTTTATTGATATTTGTCAGGAACAGGACAGGACTCAATAACTATGTGTAATTGACAATTTGCCTGCAAAATATTTTCTCATTTGATGCTTTCACTCCCAGACTCATCATCGTTACAGCCAGTTCATGAGCCACTTGCATTCATTGACTTCCTGCATCTCTTACCAGGTCGTCACTCCATCTAGTAAAGGGCCGCCCTACACTTCGCTTGCTGGAACGAGGCTGCCACCGAAATACATTCGTCTCTTTTTATTGTCCGTTCTTCGAGTTATATGGACGATACGTTATCATCTTTACGTGGTAGAGCCATGCTGCAGCTATATTACTGTTGTTGTAGCACAAATGGGAGCAGGGAAGGACCACGCTCTCACAAAATACCAGCGTGAAATAGCAGTTTAATGCTGCTGTGTTTCGTATGGTGAGTGTAGAGAACCGGAAAACCTTTTTACTGGAAATGAGGCATTCCATCTTGGGCCTCAGGTGTGACAACGCACCTGCACTTTGATTCTTAACCAGATATAGATATCTATGGGAAACAGCAACTACTTACCATCAAGTGGACTTTGTGTTCGTTTGTTACCCACATCCTATAAAAAAATTTAAAAAAAACTTGAGCTTAATGATCTGTTGGAGTATGTCGATTACTCTGGTTCTTTTCCAGGTACCTCCAATACGATGTATATCTCGCAGAGAACCTTCGCGTATAGCCCTCTCAACTGAGCGACCTTGAGCTTCCTCATAGGGCCAGCAGTAAAGATCTATGTTTCAGATGTTATCACTGGCAACACGCCCTAGTTGTACACTTTTGCTTTCAAGACTTAAGGTACTTTCACCTCTCTGCAGTTGGATAGGTTTTCTATTCTGGTTCTATACTTTGCACTGACAGTCAACTATGCACCGGTGAAGGGATAGTACTGTCCAAATATCGATGGAAGCGCAAGACAAAGTGGCAGATTATACAAGACAGTATGGCTTTTTGTTCTTCTATACAATTTCCCGAAAGATGTGTATGTACGGTTGGTACTAAAGCTTTTTCGGAAACCACTTCTCTCGGGAGGCTGAAAGTCATCAAAACTGCATAGACGATTCCTAATGTCTTGAAAATAGCAAATAGGTCCAGCCTCCGAGCTGCGTTAATTTCCGCAAAGAGGGACACCCAGCAAACTATCGCGGGTATTCCAAAGCGCCGCGACGTAAATAGCGCGGAGATAAAAGCTGTCCCAGACGTGCGGATCAGGTTAGTGTGTCACGCTCTCGGCTGCCTGCCTCCAAACCTGCACCATCTTCTCCACCAAGCCCACCCCAGTCACTAGGGTCTCCGCGCAAGGTGGTAGCACTGCCGTGCCTTCCGCGCCGAAACTCAATGCGTGGGTAAACCTCCGGTACTAGTCGCTTCACGGCTATTGCCAAAAGGCCACCCATCGCTGACTTATCCTGGTCTATGACTTCATCAGCAACATCAACGTCGCTGAATTATCCTCCTTGGCCATCGGTCAACGATTGAGCACATAGGAGTAATCGATGCAATCTGGTTTTTCCAGTGCACCTAAACACCTTTTTTAAAAACCCAAAATGGCTGTACAATCGTTAGATAGAATTAAACCACGCTCTCTGACTTTAACTTTTTCAACGCAAACACACTCAGAGATCAAAAAGACGAGATCGCGCTCTTCCTACGCAACCATAATGTAGACGTTATACTAGTGCAAAGACCTTCTTGACGCCTAGCGACCGCAATCCCAAGATCGTAAATTAAACAGTTAGAAATGATAGGTGGACCAGCACAAAAGGCGGCACCTTGATTTACTACAAAAGTTCCTTGCACTACGTACCGATGGACGCTCTCCCGTTAACTAACATAGAAGTTTCTACATATATGTAAGGTAGCTATGTTCGGCCATCCGCCACTTACCATCGTTTCGGCGTATCAACAGCCAATAAAGCGTATTATAGATATTTTAGAATTACTAAACCGAGGCCCCAATGTCATAATAGCTGGAGATCTCAACTTTTTCTTCTTCTGCTCTTCTTGGTTTGTTTGTAAGTGAGTTCCTCCTGAAACTCGCTTACTGACAAACCAAATGGTAATGTATTGTTCGATCTCACGGAGTGACTCCAACTCACTACCCATTTGCTATTAGTCAACAACCGGACATCTTTGACGTAGCGATAATCAAAAATGTTAGTTTGTCGATAACATCCACCGAAACAATCCTAGAGCTTAAATAGAACCACAGATCGGTCCTTTTGCAGATGGGCCAGCCCGCAGGTAAGGTCTCTCAGACCAAAATCGTCGTGGACTGGCCCAAGCTCGAGGTCAAATTTGAGTCTACGACCTTAAACACGATTTACGACAAAATCGACTCGCCAGAGGAAGTCAACAAGGTAATTAGCGCTCTATAGGCCGATCTTACCTCAGCGGTCGAAGAAGTAGTCACCTGAAGTTTTCGAGTGATATTCGACAACTGATCAGAGCGAAGAACGCAGCCCTAAGACAATACGATCCCTACCGCACATTGGATAATAAATATAGACTGCGCAACCTCCAAAACGAGGTGAAAGATCGCATTGCCCAATTTAGAAAGGATAAGTGCTACAATCTGTTAGAGAATATCGAGCCATCCCAAATTGCCTTCTGGCAGTTGACCCGAGCTATGAAAGCAGATCAATCTTCACAAATGCCATCTCTCATTAGGCCAGGAAATCCCAATCTCACATTTTACGACTCTGAAAAAACCGAATCCGTTTTTTCAGAGGTATCGGACACTTTTGACATATGGAGGTAAAAGGTGATCGTTGCTATAGCGAGCAGGTAATAGCCAGTAGTTAACGATCACGAAGAAGAACTGAGAGATACACCAGAGAAACATTGAGCTGCTCAAGCTTCCTAATAAATCAGGAAGCTTGAGCAGCTCAGTTTTTCTTTATGTGGTATAATTCGTAATAAATCTGTAATAGAATCAGAGTAATGGCAACATTACACATTACTCCTGCCTTTCAATTTGAATGGAACAACTAAATTAGTCCATGTTGATAAAACAACAACGCATCCCTTGCCCTCTTTGTTTGAAGTTGGCTGTAATTATCCATAAACTGCTGTAGTCACTTACCATTAAGTGAATTGTCAGTTAGTTTGTCATTAAAATTTTATAAAAGAAAAGGAATGATAATAGTATTTCCTCCCAAAGAAACCCTCAATGCTGTTTTCTACAAAGTTGGCTACGTTATCAAAAGCTATATAACACAAATTAGTATTTTATGATTGTATCATCTTCAACCTTAAAATAATATAAATAGTCTAGAAATCCAAAATAAATAATTCATCGGAAAAAAAGAAGTTAAAAAAAGATTTCTAAAGGCAATCGAGTATCCTATCCTACATATTTAACGAATTCATTGCGGCTATTGCTACGAGTACGTAAAGAATGATGCGGTATACTTTACATTCTATACTTTAGCATGTTATATTATGATGCAGTACAATCGCTACGTAGAGCTTTTTGATTCCGTCAAAAGCCGCATTAATTCATAAAAAGAATAATTACGGTTTATGGTCGTACGAGCTACGTTAATGGATTTTATATATAAAATGATGATGCAGAAATTAAATCAAGATGTATACTAACACAATGGATTTTTTATATCCGAAATAAGGATATTACTAATAAAATAATTTTAGGTTGCTGAAAAATACAGTTACGATCTCGGTTAGCCCCATGTTGGTCTTGGATTTGAAAACATGTGCCTTCTGTGTTTCTTGACTACCATGTCGTAATAAGCGACTAATGGGATATTGAGTTTGTGATGTCTACTCTTTTAATTCTTCGTACCACATCAGGGATTACAGGTGTGACAATTAATATCTTGGTTATAACGCATAAGGTAGTACCTCTTTACTCCCTGGTACCCATTAATATCCGGATAGGTGACTACTGACAGTCAACAATATTTATGAACATCATTAAAACATTACGCTTTGCATCGTAATTCAGACATGCAGGAAGTCGATGGATGCGAATGACTTAGAATCGTGCTTTGTGGAATTCCTTCAGGATTATAAAGGACTGTAACTATATCATGATGAGTTAATCGCATAAAACTGTCACTTTTTTCGTCGACTTACATGTATGACTTTCGCTTGTTCGTCTATCGCAGACACAAGTAAGGTGCGATGTTTCTTGGGCTTTTGGGAGTGTGAGTGCGAGTGAGGACTGCGTCTACGTCGGCGGCGACGACGTTCCTTTTCTAAGTACTCTGGATTCTTCATATTTCTGTTCATATGAAATTTAAACAGATGAATATATTATCATCCTATTAAAATTCATCATTACATATTTTTAAATTAAATGATCCTTTATTAATAGAGGTACCTAACATGCAGAGTGAATAAACTTCAAATCTGTAGGTTGCAAAATGATTATTTGAATCTTTTAAATAGGTCAGTGAAAGTAATGTATCCAAATATAGTATATACATGCTAACATTGAGAAATATTTACTTATTGTGCAGCTGCAATTTTAACTTCTTACGCTTGTACCTAGCGATCTCATGTTCGCACCAGTGTGAAGGTACCCCATCTCCGGGGCTGTCTACAATTGACGCCTCCTCTGAAATTAGACAATATAATCTTAAAAAAATGATAAATATTAAGTTCAACCAGAACAAGAAACAAAATATTTATCACAATTTGTTTTCAAAAACCAACGACGTGTTGATAACACGTTAAAAGCTTTAGGTGAATCGGGGTTTCGGCGAGCACGACAAACATGATCCCGTAGAACTCGACCGAATGCAACCTTCTCAGGTCTTTACCAATTCATTCGAAAAGCCTATGTATAAGCCTGTGACTTACTTAGAGTTCAGTTTTACTGAAGTTATTCAGCAGATCAAAACAAAGGATTGGATGTTCTGGACAACACTTATGCTAATTCATTGTAGATTCTTTTATTTATTTATGTGAATAAAACACTTGGACCATTAGGTTGTCCAAGCACTACTTACGCATAATCTCTTCATAAGAAAATAAAAAACTGACTGGCACGTTGGTCTAGTGGTTGTAGTAGTCCTGGGTTCGAACCTGGGTTGGGCTTAAAAAATCAATTATTGAGTTTTTCTCAGTAACTGTCCGGAGTTAGGAAGTTGGCGGTACCGTTAGTCCTGCGCCTGATCTCTCTCCGATCGTATCGGTTTACCGTCACATCGGATTATGAGAGTGAGGGAAATAGAGGGTGCATCTGTGTTTGCGCATACACTTGGGCCACCATAATCCTGTCCTGCGCCGATGGCTAGTCTCCGTTGAGGCTGGCCACCGTGACCAAAATTCGGTCTGGAGGACATTATTATTATTATATATAAAAATCAATTGTTATCCGTTAATCTCGCTAAAATTCGAAAATGGCTCAACCAAATTCAACGTTCTGTGTCTTTTCATGGGTCCCTGGATGGTTTAGATTCCCTATTAGAACCGGTAGGTGACGCTGTTGTCGAGATATAGAAATCTTCCATATGAAGTCGGAGGTCGTCGCTAGTGATTATAATTAAAATATCCGAATGTAATAAAACTTTAATGAATGGTTTTGATCGTACCCAAGAAAACTTATCACAACAAGTGGTAAATTAAAAATATTGTAATATCGTAACAGCAATAGTAACGGAACCGGCGACGAGGTTCGCCACCCGTCACGTTCTGTCTCCCGGAGAGGCGAAAAGTGGATTGCAGAGACCCGTCTGGCTACGTTGAATGTATGTGGGGGCCAAATTAGGAGTACCCTTAACCGACGAGCATGTATGCGTAGGTGTATGGATGTGAAGGAGGCAAGAGAGTTGTGTCAGGATCGTGCCAAATGGAAGTCTGTAGTCTCTGCCTACCCCTCTGGGTGACAGGCGTGAGTGTTTATGTTATATGTAATATCGACTTCAATATAAAAAAATGAGAACATCATCAATTTTGTCGAAGTCAATTAAATATACATTACTAAAGATCACTCAAAAACTACTGGTAATATCTTGATCAATTTTATATGGGACCACGAGAGAAGCACCAGCTATCAATTAAAAAAAAAAGAATCATCAAAATCGGTTGTCCTAAAAACATTCTTAGATAGCACATAAAAACTGAGAACCACCTCTTTTTTCGAAGTCGGTTAAAACGAGACAACGTGTACCGGGCACAGCTAGTGTATCGTTAAAATACTGACCGTCTGGTAAATGGTTGCGTAACAGCAATAGTAACGGATGCGTGCGCGCGCGACGTCGCATTTGCTCGGCGTGTAGTGCACGCGCCTTCCGTTCTACCAGCGCAACCAGCACCGCCTCCAGTCTCGCTGCTCCTGAATCTTCCGTGCATACCGCTTTGTCGATCGTCTGGAATTCGAAAAAGACAAGGTCAATTGCCTTCTGTACGCCCATCTGAAATTTTAATCCTAATATAACTTTAGTTTTAAAAGTTGATTTAAAATGTTCTTGACGGTTAGAGAATACATCCTGAATCCTGCAGAAAGTAACCTGCATTTTAACTCAGCAATGAATTGAGAGCCGCACGATACTAGTATTTGTATGGCCTACAAAAAATTGTTCCGGGTCTGGATGTTTATCCTTGTGAAATTTATTTGTGTAAACTGTTAAAACGATATAGTAGAAAATTCTAAAATTCTATTCAATATATTAAAAAAAATTAATTGAAAGTGAAAAATATTTATAAAATGTATAATTAGCTACCTCTCACTAGACAAAGTCAACAAAGTCATTTTTATATTTACCTAACCATACAAACATTATACAGTTTTCTTATGATATTAGTAGCAAAGTATATATGTAGTTTGCGAGACCTAGAAGTATACGTTTAATTCCACTTAGGGAAATTAAGTCACACCGATCGCTTTGAAAAGTAGGTCTTTCCGCCAGTATGTAAGTCAGCTAGTAGCCCTAATAGAAGATAACAACCTCTACTGTGATTTGAAATTTATAAAAATCATTTCCACCTAACATTTAAAAGGTGTCTCGGCACCGACTGCTACATTTAAAGTATTCAATGCCACAACGAAGAAAACAGGTTAAAGAAAATCCATTGTGATTATATCAACCTGTCTCCGCGATGTTACATATAATGGAAATCTTAGACAGAACAGAAAATTTATTTTATTTTATTTTCTTACAATGTTCTATTCTGTAATTAGTGGAAATGAAAAGGTACTCCAAATTTTTAAAAATATGTGTCAGATTCAATTTGTTGCTCTACATTTTACCCTACTTTTGAATGGGTTAGACACCAAAAACAGGATAATCTTTTTGGCTGGTTAAACTAGTTGATATAATTTTGCTTAGCTCTAATATCACGCGAGAAAATGTGAAAACATGTGAATCAGCCAGTATTTTATAAAACCATAAATATGAAAGCAAAAATAGAGGCATTTCACAGTACGCGAGCAATATACCCACCTCCACCAATGAAATTGCAATTTTAAGTTGTAATCTAGCACCTGCGCGACCGTGAAGGAAAACATCGTGAGGAATGCTGCATGTCTGTGAAATAAAGAAATATTCCGAAGACATGTGAACTTAGACAACACGCATTGGGGCATCGCAGCAGACATTTCCTTGCCCTAGAACCCTGTGGGAAATAAGCGGAAGACTGCGCACGGCGTATATTAATTTAACGTTAAGTATCAGACACATATTACTAGATTAACTTTTTACCGTCTGGAAGAAAATAGTGTGTTGTAAAATATTCACATGTTGAACGGAGATATTTTACAAAAAATAAGAACAAAAATTTTGAATTAAATAAATTAATTAATTAAAATCTGTCGAAATTCAAATCATATCCACCCTACTTTACGAACGGCAATAGTAGGCGTATTTGACCTTGTCACTTCGCAGACTCACAGACTCAAGGGCAAGAGGCTAAGTAATTGTCCAAAAAAATATTTTTTTAAACGTTTTATTCATTTTTTTTTTTTTTGTAAAATATCAGTGCCATCTCTCAGGCTTCTACTCCGTTCACATGTTACACCCTATTTTTTTCCAGACGGTTAAAATAGGTCATCCATTATACATATAAACATATAATATTGTACTCGTACTTAGTACTTTAAAAAGCAGAAACTTACGTCGGTCGACTGCTGCCGCATTGTGACCACGCGGCCGTCTCATGTGGCCAATCATCGCCCCGTATCCACCGTTACCGCGACCCGTGTAGCATCTGATAATAAAAATAACACTCAATATCAAAAGAGTAATGATATAAAAGTAGACAAGACACTTAAGGTAACATAAAATAAAACCCTTTTTACTGGTAACGCGGTATTCCATCTTAGTCCTCAGCGGCGACATGCAGTTTGATCCTAAATGAAGATGTAGGTATCAATGGGCCACAGCATCCACTTCACACCAGGTGGACCGTGTGTTCGTCAGTCACTCTTACTTCTATAAAAAGTAAGTATATATATAAGACATATGCAGAAGCTTTTTTAAGTAGTAAATAAATGGTTAATGCTGTTGGTAAAAATAAACCAATACTATATATATATATATATATATATATATATATATATATATATAGCTATACAGCTTTCAGATGTTTAAGTTCCTTAGGGTCTAAAATAGTAATTTTAAGTAGTAAGATAGTGCCTATTGCTGCTTAAGGGGCTATAGTAACTCAGCTCAAATTCTAATTTCACCCCCACTTCCCCGCGCGTCGTATGCTATGTACCGACATGTTTGTAATCACTAACACTGCAACTAGATAGGTCGTTAGATACTTATTTAATTAGGTTTATCATATTTATGTCTGTTTTTTACCCCAAACCCAGTCGCTTCTTATTTTTATTACGGTTATTTCCCATTTTAATTTCACGTCGTCCTGTTGCGTAAAGTGTATTCTGATGGTAAGCGACACAACTTCCCCGTTCAAAGGCCGGAGCAAGACCGACCGGGCGGCAGGAAACAAGCTACAAGACGCCGATCCGATAGTTTAGTTTAGGTAATTTCTTTTTACAGTGAAAATAATGGTAATTAAAAAAATTAAAAACATAAGCCCTGCTTTATAGTTAGTTTAGTTAGTACGCAAAGTTTCATGGTCTAATTTAAAGTATTTATGAATACCAGCCAAAATTTTACGGAATCGTGTTTTCGTCTAACATAGTAGGTAAGCACCGATCAGACGGCACGATTCATCGTGCGCCTTAAGTCACTAAGTTCCGATGGATTGGGTGGTATGATCGCTGTTAGGCTGCTAGTGTCCCTAAATCGGGCGATCGAGAGTGCCCGACCGCCCTAAGTCCCTAAGTCCCGATAAATCGTGTCGTCTGATCGCGGTTTTAACCCCTTGTCTGGCGGCCGGCTTGGGCCGGCCATTTTGCAAATATGTCGCGTCTGCTAAGGCCTTTTCTTTCCTCTCCTAAGGCAGGTAATTTCGCGATATCGGCGCGTGGCGATTAAATTAATAATTTCTCTAAAATATTGTATGGAAGCTATGTATAAAACTTATGTCATTTAAACTGTTATATTATTTGCTGTTACTCTGTAGATATCTTAGTTGAATACAATCTAATAGATTTTATTAAGCCAATTTCAAAGTTAGACAAACCAATTTTTAATAGTATTTTGTCATTGAGCTATTATGTACTACGTACTAGAGGCGACACTGCATTCTCTGTTCCACTCAACTGCGTTGCATACACCGCACTTTAAGCAGTCACTCGCTACGCGCTTGTAGAGCTGTCACATGTTGTGTTGATTTAAAAAAAATCTCTTGATAAAAATATGCCGTCGTGTGTACTTATTAGATATTGCACAATTAACTCAAGAAATGTCAGTAAAAACCAAGAAATTACTTTTCATCGGTTAATAAGATACATAATTAATAAAAAAAGTATTAGAAATTAATATAAAACAAATTATTCCTAAGACGCCATCTCGTGTCATGGAATATAGATTATAAAATTAATTTGTTCAGATGCGACATATCTGTGGGTACTTAAGTATAGAACAAATATATTATTATACACATTTTTTTTTCGTAGGAACATATATGTGATCATAATTAGGCTAAATTTTTTATATTTAAATCTGCTTATTATTCTTTTAGTTTATTTTTAGGTTTCCAAATCAAAGTCAAAGTGGAATAAATTCGTCCATTTTTAACTCTCGCATGTCCAGCATTTATGAACGACTCTTATTCCAATTTAAATAAATATATTTTTAATTCAAATGTTAAATTAATAAGTTTTGTTAAACATACATTTAGTATGTTTTTTTTATATTTGACATAGATGCCTTTTAAAATATTCGGATAAAAATATCTTTAAAATGTAATTGTGATATAATATTATGTAATATTATATTAAATAAGCAAATAAAATATACAAAATAAATGACAAAATTTAAATATTATTCTCGATATAAATAACCTATTTAACAATACAGTCTACTATTACCTACGGATCATTCTACCTATGTTTATTCTATGATAAAATACAACCACGCAAACACAGAGTAGCGCATATTTTTTGTTTGAGATAGCTGTTCTAGTACGTAAGTACATATTACTTCAATGGTATTTTGTACATAATTTGTGAAAATTAAACAAAAAAAAATCATTCGTTTATAAAATAAATGTACTTTATTTTCATAAATATACACTAATTTATAATAACAAAGCAAAAATAACCACACATTCCTACACACAAAAAATTGCGTATATATTGTTACTTCATTTTGAGAAAGGAACGAGTCAAGTGGCGTGCGATAATTGTATGGTACAAGTTCTTAATTTAGACAGTTACATTTCTAAAAAGTATGTAATGTATTTGTAATCAACGATAGACATAAATGTAAGGTAAGTAAGTATGACGGCCGTTTATGTTCGAAAAAAAATTGTTTTTTAATAAAAAGGATACACATCCCTAAATTATGAATTAAAAACTGTTGGTTATTAACCCTTCTATGTTGAAATAGCACCAACTTCACTATTTGTTCGATTTACGAATAACAATAAGGACAAAAAGCGACGTTCGCATACGACCATGCAATTTGTATCTTTTAAGAAATTTCATTGTTGGTTATAAACTACCGTCATCTAGTCATTGCTTTATGAAACACTTTTTAATTTATAGCTGCTCTGGAATCTAGCATTTTTAGCTCCATTATGTAAATCAATCAAGATAGTGTGGCCGCCACAAAAAATTAAGCATTATTAATAATAATTCTAATGATAGGTATAAAGGAAATACTAAAGAGGAAATAATATTCTATTAAGCAAGTTATTGTTATATGTAATTGTATTTATTAACTACATAAAAATATCATCATCATCATCATCATTACAGCCCTTCACAAGTCTACTAGGTTTTAAGGTATACCTGACGAGAAGACATGTCATAATTTCCCGAACCCTGCCCAGCCGAGTT